GAAGTTTGCTGATAGAGAGGATATTGTTATTGCTAAAATGGATTCCACAACAAATGAGCTAGAAGAAGTACAAATTAGAAGCTTCCCTACCCTCAAATATTTTGTTAAAGAAACTAATGAAGTGAGTTTTTGTTTTTTGAAAATTATATTACTAAGAACATCAGAAATTCTCTTAGAATAGATGCCCAACATCATAGAAAATTTTGATAATTTACGTAATTTGATTATGATCATTAACTTGCAAAGCAATTTCTCAACTATTTTTCATTTTGTAAGGTTATTGATTATAATGGTGAGAGAACTCTGGAGGGATTAACTAAATTTTTGGAAAGTGATGGAAAAGATGGTGCCGGCCCATCAGACGAGGTATGTTTGTTGCTATATTTTATGTATATTAATAATTATATACCTCATACATGGATTCTAGGCATTTGATTGGTTAAGAAGCGGGGCAATAGAAAGTACTTTTCCCCTAAAAAAGTACTATTTCCCTTAAAAATAGTATTTTTTTGACCTGTCGCTATGTGTAAACTCTAGGCCCACTTAACATGCGCTGCTGACAGTAAAGGGGACTGCGACCTCTACGACAAGATTGGCCCTTGACTGTGTCACAGATCAGCATATAGACGATAAACAAATATGGAGGCTGGTCGGTTCGAGATGAAGGACTAGCCTAGGCCTAGCATTACTTCTTGATGAAGCCGATAGCAAAAGCACCAAAAGACAAATTAAATATGTCAATATTTAACAAAAATTGCAAGATGATGGGTGTGGTTGAAATTGAGGAAATACGCAAAGAAGAACTAGAAATGCTCTTTGATCGCCTAGCGATAGGCCTGGGCCTAGCTAGGCCTCTAATACTAGGCTAGGAAGTAAGTACTTTTTTAGGCCTCGTAGAATCTATGTATGAGGCAAATATTGACTGATCTAGGTATGGGGAACGGTGAAATCTATTCAATGTGGAGACTGTAGCCTATCTTCCCTCGGGAAGATAGGCTACGATCTCCACATCACCTTGGGGCAATAG